GTAAATGTGTTAGCTGTGATTTCCTGATAGAGTTCTTGTCTAATATTGTAACAGGCATTTGGTGGATGATGGATGATATGGTTTATATGTTAATATTTTTGGATAATGTCACAATATGGAATCAATGGAATACAGTTTAAGTGTAGATTTTTTGTGGAGAGCAGACATTAGATACTTATGTGGAAATTCCATATCTCATGTAAATAATTTTAGCTATTCTATTCTATTAGCTATAGCTATAACGTTGTGCCCTGTTTTATTATTCTGATATTCACCTGCTTGTGACCCCTTGTGGTTGAGTTGCGTATTTCATTTTGCTCACAGTTAATTTCATATTTTCATATCTATTTGTGAAATAATGGACAGTATTGCTTGTCATATTGTGTTTTAGGTCATTTATGTATGTCTGAGGTTTCTCTGTTACAGTGTGAAAGAGCATCCAGCATTCTGCTCTTATTATAGAAATGTCCCAGTTATTGCCTGTTGTTTGTCCTTGGCCCATTCTTTACACTTGCACCAAAACTCAAGAAAACCACAGCTCTATGAATCATAGAAGTATGCAAGTTTTCATACACTCACTATAATGCAGCTCAAAGCCTCTCTGTTTATAATATCTCATTAGTTGGCAAATGTTGTAATCTAGTACGATTGAATTAACATTTAAATGTTTTAATGAAACATTTCTCAAGTGCTTCATTTTCTTTTTAACCAATTTATTGAAGTGGATTCCATTATTCTTTGAAATGTGATATCGTATGTATAGGCCTAATTTTTGCACTAAGAACATTTAATTTTTATTATGTCCTTTTACTTTTTAATGTTTAATTTCTCTCAGTTGTTTAAAGATAATCATAGTTCAACTCATTAATGTTTTCCCAAGCGCTTCTGTTTTGCAGTAGTACTACTCAAAATGTTAATAACTGTACAATTTGGCCTGGTTTTAATGCTATAGATCAGGGGTCTCCAACCTGTAGCTCGGGAGCTACCAGTTGCTCTCCACCCCCTTCCAAGTAGTTCGCCAAGGGATTCCTGAATTCTATGTATTGTAGATAATAAGTAAAATTGTATTGATTACAATTGTAAATGTATAATTTTGGTGTCTAACTTGGTGCACTGATAAATGGATAATAGTTTATGTTTTATAAATATCTAACTGTTCCCCATCTAAAGCTTGCTGTGGCTATTATATTTACTCAGTTTCTTTGCGACTGCTGCAATTGGTAGCTCTATGGCATTTTTGTTTTGTAAAGATAGATCACTGGAGAAAAAAGGTTGCAGACCCCTGCTATAGATACTACCACCACTACTACTACTACTGCATTTGCTCTGTGGGTTCTAGTCACCAGTATGGCTACTTCTGCTCTTCTACTATTACTGGTTGATCTTCTATGTTCCTAAGAATATTGAAACAAAACAGATTATGCAATTTGTACTTCAGTGAAATACAAATATGCAAATATTTTGCACTGCTTCTGTAAAAAGTTCCTGCTTGTTGTTAAATAACCTTTGGAGTTGTATATTCCCTTTAGGCAGTGCGTGTGAGGTGGCCCAGCAGTGGTTTAAAATCAAGACAGGAGAGAGTAATGAACGGTGAGCTGGAGCAGGTAGCAGCAGTAGCAGTAGTGCGATGATAAATGAGTACGGGGAGGGTGTACGGGACCACAGCCATTTGTTACTGTGCTGTCACAAATGTATTTTTAATGAATCTGCACCTCTGACTCCTCCACAGAGCAGCCCTGTTCCTTATGGCCACCATGACCCTAATATTTTTCAAACAGCAGAGCCTGAGAACTAACCTACTCTATGTATGTACTTGGATGTAAATAAACTGTTTTTGGTTGCCCTCATACACATATAGAGAACAGAGATCTTGTCATGATGAAGTATAAAGCTCGGCCAATGTTATACTAATTTACTCTTGATAATGACAAAAATGCCAGATTTACTTATTCTGGTCAATACCATGCCTTCAAATCTACCATTATTGACTAACAAGGAAGGCACAGACTAGACAAGAGTTATTATACCTTGGTATTCAGGCATCCCACTGTCCAAAAAATGCATAGACATGGGTAAATTGGTCTCTCTTTATTGTTTATTTCTCTTTATTTATTTCTCTTTCATTTTTGCTTTCAAACTTTGCCCCTTAGGCCAATAGTTAGTGACTCCAGTCAGTCACAACCCTTGGGCATGTATGAAGATGCAACATCATAATAAGGAGCACCCCTGTGTACAACCAAAACAACAAACTAATAGTGATAGTGACTGCAGACCTAACAACAGTCTGGGGCTTCACAGGGAAATCAAAGACAGGTATTATCAAACACTGGGGGTCTACATGACTTTTTACGTGAATGTAACATGCTGTACATAATGGATGATGGGCAAAAAACATACAAAGCAAGTGGTAGGCAATATATCAAAAATGGATCTAAACTTAATATATTTTTATGACCTTTAATAAAAGGTAATTGTTATCCTGAGACTGATTGGTTAAGTTATTTTTGTACCTTAAAGGGCCCATATTACGCTATCTTCCAATGTATGTTATTATGATGGTTCCTCATCATAAACATAGCTCTTGTGTTTTGTTTCGTTCACCCATGTTTAACACATAGACTCTACATATTTAGGAATGTTCTTCTCTCAAACAGAAAACACAGAAAAGAGAAAACACTTACACTTTGTGATGTTATGCGGTAATACAGGAAGTCTTCTCTGCTGTGTTAATTACCTTCAGTAGAGTCATTTGGATGATTTCAGTTTTGAAATTTTCAATCTGTACTGAACCAAAGGTAAAAGGTAGCTATCGCTTCATGACATCACAAGGTGGAACAGAGCATGTTGAGGTTTTGAGACATAGAATGATTTAAAAAACTGGATTACTCAAATGTGTGAATTAAACAAGACACAAGTGTAGCTATGTTTGATAAGATAACAATGTTCTAACATGGCTACAAGATCACAAGAGTAATTTTTGTGTAATCCAGGACCTTTAAAGAGTCATGGCAATATAAATGCTGTGTTTTGGTTCTTTGCAAACTGCTGGTAGACTTTTTTTTTTTTTTCTTCAGAAACACCCCATTGACTGGTACCTGGATTTGCTTTGGAGTGAAGGATAACTGGATCAATTCTGATGCTGTTATCATCTGTGACATATGTCTGAGGCCACAGTGTGAAAAGGTCAAAGGTCGCCCCCTGGAGACTCCTGCTGCAGACATAAAGATGCCATCTCTTCATCTATTTAAAAAAGTGTAATACTTTCTTAATTATGACAATGTAAGTTTTTTTTTAAATATTTTTTTTAAACTTGGTTTCATGCTTTAAATGTAACACATACCGTGATTAAAAATACCTTGGTTGGAGGTCTTGCTCCACTCCTAGTTCCCCACAGGATGTAGCTATGTTTCTTTTCTCATGCATCCATTTTAATCAGACATGTAGGTCAAAGTGTCAATACTTTCCATCACTGACTAGCACGGGGCTGTATAATTAACCCCAAAGTCAGACCCAGGGCGACTCCATCACCCCTAACACTGAAGATTATGTTTTGATTCCCATTGTCTTCCCAAAGATCCAAAAGTAGACCACTGCCTTTTTTTACTTCAAGGACATTGCGTTAGGAGATGGCTCATTATTTCCCCTTATAATTTATAAAACATAACATCAGTCTATCTAAAATCTTGGGTGCATTTTGGTCCCTATCAAAGGTATGGCTCCAAATCTTTTAATGTAATAAAATGTTGACTAATAATTGCAACATGATAGACTATTTTCTGAGGCTCCTTTCTTAATCACAAAGCTCTGGTTGATTTTCTTCCAAAAGGCAAAACGTTTTAATGGTTCAGTCTGTTCTTTTGTTAATAGGGTTATTACAGTCCAGATATTTGGATAGAGAAAAACATTATTCAAGTCATTACTTTGCTGTGAGCAGATTTAATTTGGTATTGATTAAGAAGGCTCATAAATTGTCAAAATGATAGAAAAACTGCAGAAAAATAGCTGTCTAAATGTGTCCCTTGGGGTAGTGTAGTAAGCCTAAAATTGTATTATTGGCACAAACACAGCAGTTATATTAAATTATTTTCTCAACATCTTTTTAAAATATGTTTGGTAATGAGATTTGCAAAAAGACGGCCACTTCTCAATTCAGTAACTAAGACGTTTATAATTGCGTTGAAAGTCTGCGGTAGCCACGGAGCCACGAAACCATTGATTCAAAACGTCCCCGGAGATTGTCACTAATGCAATAACGCCTTTGACAAATTGAGTTCCCTTTTATTGCATGCACCAACAATGGCGACGAGGCGCGAGCGTGTCCTTGGCTCAGAGGAATCAGGTACGCGCGGTTGTGTCAGAAAGGTGCGCGCGGAGGAGGTAGTGGAGAGGGCAAACCCAGCGGCTACATATTAATCAACAACTTATTGGCGCTGGGTCGGCCATACGGAGCTGTCCCACAAGCCCGTGCCCCCACCTTCACCCCGGTCACCGCGCTCTGTTCCTACGCCTTCTGGGTCTGTGCGCTCTGGAGCTCAGCGTGTGAATGAATCATTGGCGCGTTTACGCACTGGAGCTTGATTTGTGCAAAGTGAAGGAGACCAATATATGGCACTTTTTTGGGTGCAATTTGGCATACCTATTGATTGACTGAGTAAAACTGAAGGCGCTGTAAAGCGGCTTAATGGTCCTTATAATTAAGTCATGCTTCACCTTTGGGATGACGGTAGACAGCTGATGCTCCTGAGCACTTCTTCAGGCAGAGGGGGGTAGTGATTGTTACCGTAGTGAAAAGGTATTGGGATGCTGTCATGTAGCCTGTTTAATTGACAATTATAGATGTAAATAAAAGGTACAATATGAATCCACAGGCCTAATTAATAAAACTATTAAATATTCCAGCATCATCACCTTAGCTTTTTGGGAAATCTCAACCAAATTATCATAAGAGATTAGTCTTAAATGCAGTATGATATATAGAATAAATTAGGAAGTGTGCAAAATGGCCTCTGGCATATTTATTCATTCATCCATTCAGAACAACCTAAGCCAACATATTCTCCTGTAAGGACCTTGCACTGCACATGCACATCAACAGCCCTCACACATATATGCTCCAGCAAGAATGATTCAACCAAGGACAGAACATACAATAAAATATACAATGCAACAGTAATTTTAACTTAACCAGTAGCTGGCAATATGAAATCAAATGTATATATGACCAAGGTGAAATTACAAGAGCAAAATATGTGTCAAAGCAAAAGAGGAGCCTACCTTTGGAAAAAAAAAAAGAAAGAAAAGGAAAGGAAAAATAAACTGTAATACTAAAATGTACGCACAGTACTGATAAGCATATTGGAACAATCTGTGTTTTAGAATGAACAGTCTCTACTTCGTTTAGTTTTTAATATTTTTTATGTGTTTATGTGTGTTGCCTGAAATATGGCACTTAAGGCATAGGAGTATAGCCTGTTTTCACAATTCTAAAAGGAATGTCTTCTATAAGTACACGCCTTACTAATGCTGCATAAAAAATAAATGGAGAAATCGGAGCAGTATGTACTATAGTGAAGCAGGAACTCGTCGAAATTAGTGCTTGAATTCAAGCAACTTAGGCAAATACAAATGTGAACAATTTTAGCACAACAATCTGAAAGTGTAACTAATCGTAACAGCATTCTTGACCAGTGTATCCCCAAACTTTTCAGTACCATCATCTTCAAGTAACAGAATTTACCAGGTAGTAAAATTGAAACATATCAAAAAGATTGATACGATATGTGCTACTGTAAATGCATTTTTAGTATGCTCGGGTGGGTTTCTCTTGGGCCTGGTTGAAGGGATTGGCTGGGCTTGCAGACTGTTGGTCCTGCTGGTCTATGGATTGGTAAGCATCTCGGTTTCTTGATACTGTGGGAAAACCTGCAAAGCACAAGTTAAAAGTCTGTGTTGGCATCATTATATTGACTTCTCCAAAATAAAGAGAACAAAAACATACACATTGTCAAGAAACCAGGAACTCCAAAGCATCACTGAACTAATATAATGCATGGCTGCTATTTGATGCCAGTATTTTAAGACTTCCTTACTGGAATATAGAGGTAAATATGGTTCATAAAGATTTCAGAGCAAGTCATTTTCTGACATAAATTAGGAGTCTCTCTACCAGGAACAGCCTTGGCTCCAGCTTGGTTCGAATACAGATGATACATTTTCAAAAGTTCAAAGGCTTTACTCACTCTTACCTCAACATGACCCATACTGTGACCGACATGCCTGGCTTATTACAATCACTCAAGTCAATACTTCCAAGGTATGAAGTCTGACAGAGAAGCCAAAAAGTGTTTTCCAATTTCTACATAGACATAATATACATAAAATTAGGAAAGAGGATCATTTGGATCAAATGAAGACGACCTTGAGTGTCCAGAAAGGCGCCTAATAAATAAAATGTATAATTATTATTTGTATTATTAAGACAATAGCAACCCCCAAGAATGTTCAACACAAATAACGGATTTATTTATCACTTTATTATTGAATAAGTTGGGTGCATTTGTGCACTTTTAGGGCATTGGAATATCACTTACTGTCAGCACTAACTAAAGAAAAAATTTACAGTCAGATTAAAACAATTTAATTTAATTTGGTGTAGTTGTATGTAGTTTTTACATCAAGAATGAAGATCAATTTCAATACAGATTGTCAGTGTTTCTCATAAGTACCTCAGAATATATAACCCATATACATATATATATATATATATATATATATATATACTGTTTACAGTATAATATAAAATCTATCTTTAACCCTATAACCTTTGCACATCCCTGAAATAGAAAGAATTTGATCTAGAAACTACCATAATGCTTGGATAAGTTCTGAGATGCATTCACTATTAAGAGTCAACAGTGTGCTGACTTTAATTAGGCTGATAAAGTGCACCATCACACAGTGCTGCTTAAAATAAAACAGAATGCACAACACAAATTGGGCATCAGGAGAGTATGAAATATGAATAAAACATGCATGCAAACATATTAACATACACATCAACAAAGCACAAAGGTAGACATAAAAGTACAATGACACAGAACATGGCAGGTAGAAAAGGTCATAATGAAAAATGACAGACAAAATAGATAAACATGTGTAAAACAGAATACAAAGAAGTGGTCTTTTATGTCCAGCGGCCAATTAGAAGCCTGGGTGATGGAGGAAGATGATTGTACGGAGGATGGGAATGGTACGAAAAAGAGGAGAGGGAGAAAAAGCCAGGCAAAATCAATAGCGACGGCCAATAAAAGCACTGTCAGCACTGTCCGTAGTGCACCGGCTGTCCATTGAAGTCTCAAAGTCTGAAAGGTCAAAGGTCAGTCAGCAAGAAGGAAAAAACAGAAGACATGAATAACATGAGACAAAAATGACAGTGTGAGTTAGAAAAACAAGTACAAGCGAAAAGGCATGATTTGGCAGGCAACTAAAGCTACTTGGATGTAAAAATGTATGTCAAACAAAGTATCTAATAAAAAATTTTGTCTAGTAAACATTTGCCCACAAAGCACCTCGATGAGCACCTGTTTTTCACATACTTTCTGTGATCCAGGTGAGTATTTCCAGTATCCAGTATCTTATTCACAACAAAGTAATTGTTTCTTACCAAATGACTGATCTCGATAAAATTATGCCAAGAATGACATGGACACCAGAAATACCACAGGGAACATTTGGTTTTGTTTAGACATGGGATAATATTTTGAATTTGAATAAATTATTTGATTTCTTCCAAGCGTGTTCATGCAGAACTGATGATTGTGCCAATATGGGGACCCAAGTGATACAGTTTCTTTTGTTTTAATGTACAAGCAAAGCCCTAACCCTGTAACAGAATTTGTTCATTTGAAACATTATTTAAAAATTTTTTACCAGTCTTTAACAAATGGCATGATAAAAAGTAGTCTTACAGTATTTGCAGGTTGTGAAAAGCTCATAAATACTTGAATTTCCAACTAGTTTTGTTTTAAAGAGCATCGAGCAGCGGGATCCCTTGATCATGACTGTGCTACAATCAAACAGCAATTAAAATTCTCTCCTCGGCTGCTTTCTACCTACATCAGCCACCACACAGTCAGTCATGTGCTGTGATATACCTACTGAGGGTACGACTTCATCAATATTCAATTATCCTCCAAGAGACAAATCGGGGACGTATTTTAACAACTGCAGTCTTGAGGTTGTGTTGCTATTTTACAGTTTGCAGAATTTGTATATACTTGGCCAAGTGTCTATTTTTGTGCATCCAAGAATAGCCATCATAATCAGAGGGAAGAAATATGCAAGACCAATTCAAAGTTGTGGAGTGCATTTAGGCATAAAGTCGACATCACAATTCAGTGGAGCAGCTCTTATCTTCATGAGTGGCTTCTTAATGCAACAAAGAAGATACTTAAAAAACTGTGTACGAAGGAACATTAAGTTAAGACCTTTTGATAAATAGTGTGTTTTCTTTTGGTTAAAGCTTTGTTTGGGGTAAGCCACATAACTGACCATATAAACTCAACTGCCCAAACAGCAGCACTGCCTTTCAAAGTCTTGTGACTGTAACAAATTAGTTTGACTAAGGAATCATCTGCAAGTGGTTTGGAGCTAACAGTCTGTATTAATGTTGTTTTGTACTAGACGGGACTTTTCTGCTAATAAGCTAGCAATATTTGCAATAAGACATTTGAAAGAATTCTTTATTAAGTATATTAAAGTGCATTTCTAATAACAAGTTTTATTCTGCTCTAACTGTAGCTCTGGAGATAATCACTCTTCTAGTAATACAAATTTCCTTGTTGTAGTACAAGCAGAAGTGAGTTGTAATAGTACATTTATGGTCATTGTGAAAGTAGAACAGCAGAAGTTGAAAAAATAAAAAATTTTAAGCACCAGTGTTCAATCCATTTACACATTTTATTACTGTATTATCTTACTTGAGAGACATTTTTCAGTACTTCTGGATTTGCAATATATTCATTTAAAAGTGTGTCAGGGTGCGTGGCAGAAAATCTTGCGATTATACAGATCACATTTCTCCTTAAAATAGAATGGCATCATGCTCATCTAATTTTCAAATTTCATTGATGAATTTATCAATTAAGGGTCACATTTTAGGTACTGTAGGCAGGCAAAATGTATTAACTTTTGCTAGAGGACGCATGACATATACTTACCAAAGTTGACATTGTAGTCCCCTCCTCTCTCTTTATACATCTGATAGACAAAAAAACATGATGCAGGCTTGAGCAGCAGGTTGAGGATAGCCATCCCTGCACTGAAACGAACCACATCTGGGATCACCAGATCATGTGAGGGGTAATAAATTCCAATATGGACAATGTCTGTCAATATTGTCACAGCAGTCCCTATTAAAAACTGTGGGAAGATAACAAAGGAGATAATGATTAGAACTTAGAAGAAGTTATAGTAGCAGTAGTAGTGGTAGTAGTTGTAGTAGTAGATTTTAACAGACAGAAATTAACACAAATAATAAGTACTCTTTTTAATACTGTGTATAATGCCAATCATGGGCGATAGCAATTGTTTTAGAATCCAGAGAAGGTGAAAAGCTCTGCCAATATTTTTTACTAAATTATTTAATTTGAATTTACTACAGACTTATCTACACCCCTTTAATGCACATTCTTAGGTAGTTGGTTGGCCCAAGCAAAATATCCACCGCCGCTGGAGGTTTAATTTTGATAGCCAATACACTAAAAGGTACTGTCATTAGCTTGATGTATAAGTCTCTAGTCTATAATACTGTGAAAATAAACTTCTTTCATAACTACAACTAGTCTTATGGAGGTCAGTAGTGATTGTCATACGACCAATGTCACTGGTCATATGACATTGGGAACAGTTTTATAGACCCTGGACGACTATACAGAAAACCATCATGCGTATCAATTGCTTTTTCTTGCTCTTTATGCCTGTCACACAAAACAATGCCCTTCTCTTTATGCTGAATTACATTACATTCATTATAGAGGGGACAAGGTGCCCTTCAAAGTATTATGTAGTCTGAAAGTGAAAATGCACTATGAAGGTAAGTTAACATAGTAGGCCACAAAGAGCCATCAAATATTTTCTTGGTGAAGAGACTGACTGACTGCCCTCAAAATAGAACCAGTAAACAAGAAACTGAAGGCCATGAATAGCCAGGTTAAGCTGTGATGAAATATCCAAGTTTAGTGTAACTTCCTATTTACTGACTAGAGTTCCTTTAGCAATATGTCTTTGTTAAATGTTCACGGTTTGTCCTAGATTTCACACACAAATGGGTTAACACATCTGTCACATGATTTGCAGTCTCCCAAGCATCAAGGTAAAAACTCACCATAAGCACTGCATCAATAGAGTCCCTGTGTGCAATGGCCCACACCCCGATAGCCAAGACAGTGAAGTTTCCCCATGCATATGAATGGGGAAGCCACGCCATACTACCCCTATAGCAAACATAGTCATATTATGTCAAGTTATGCAATTTGTTCAAACAATACTAGTATATATTTTATTTGCAGAAGTTATTTATGATAGTAGGTCAGATTATGGTCATCATTTAACGTTTACTCAGTGTTCACACAAATCCAGTGGTAACAGTCAGAGGAGAGAAATTCCTCAAGTTTGTGAGGAAAAATCTGTGAGTACTCACCATACTGTAAGCAGCCAGTGAACTAGTACTATTGCCTTCAAAACAAAAGACAAAAGGAAAAGCATAATGAAATGTATTTAAAATGATATGTTATATTATCTATTTTGAATTCAGGTAGAGCAAATGTCTCTACATATACTATGAAAAAGTTTGGCTTAGTAGAAAGCTCAAGTTGCATGACAGTACATTTATGATTGCAATGGCCTATTTGTCATTTTACTTGCAACACAAATTAGGCCCATGATGTAGACTCTGTTGTTGACGCAATAATGGTTGAATTTCTAAATGACAAATGTAAGTTTAAAATTTCAAGTTTTAGTGATTACAAAACAAAACTCTGAAAAGTGTTCAAATATGTTAGACTTTACTTAATAGCAATTACAGTCAAATCTAATACTATTATCGCCTACTGTTTTAAAACTATTTTAAAAGGTGCACTATGTGATTTTCCTGGTTGAGGGTCCGCCACACACCCTGGCGTTACCATAATTATAGTTACTGCTTTGCCTGGAATGGTCTCCAAATGCATTACACTTATTTGTTGTGTATTTATTCAATTATGAGTTGTTAAAAATGTGTGCATTCGAACTTGGAGTCATCTGCTTGTCTCCATGGAGATGGGTGAATTTAAGGCTATACTGTGGAACATTGCAGGCAAAGCAAGAACATCACCATGGAGACAATTAGCGTGCAGACCCACCACCAGTAAAGTTACGTAGTTCACCTTTTTAAACATCTGCTTGCAGTGTAATGGCCAAATAACCCAAAGGTTCTTCTTAAAAAGTTGGTCTGTCTAGTAACCACCATCACTATGCTAGCCTATTAGCCTTTGTATATGAAACATATCAAGAGTGTAGTTGAAGAAATCTACTGTATAGAGCTAAGAAAAACCTTTGTTTAAAACCAGTTTAGCAAGTTTGTAGCTAAAAAACAAAGCAAAACAAAACAAAGCAAAGGCTACAGTGTGTAAGCTACTCCATAAGGGTCACGTTCGTTTAACTTCACAGCAGTCATAATTACACTGCCTACAAACAGATCAAATAAATAGTTAAGTTCATAATGCTACTGTTTGATCCTGTGGTGTATAGCGGTCCAGCCTACTGTGCAAGTAGCACCCGTAAATCACACTTACCTTTAGATTAATAGCTGGGATTTCCATGCCAAGACGTAATGTAAAAAAAAAAAACTACCTTGATCCGATCACTGCTGTAAACTTTGCCGGTCTACATGAAGAAATTAGGCAACTTTTTTCTTTCACAATACTCCTTGAAGTCTAAACTCCTCCTTCCTCCCCTGGTCAGGCTGCAAACACAAGCCATGTGACAGCAGCCTGACCCTGGCACATGTGACTGTCTCTCCGGCCCCTCCCACTATTCCTGCCTGTCGTCCCTGGCCTATGCATGACCAAGAGTAAAGAAGGGTTTAAGCTTCTAGTAGTGATTTTGGGCTACAACACATTTATCAATAAGTACATTGGTAGACCCACTTGTTTAATCTTGTTACGTTGTTAACCAGCTGCCTTTATATGTTTGGTATGTGATAGTTTAGGTGCCCTTATTGTTTGTCACCAAATCATCATTCTGTGTAAAGATTGAGCAATTTGTTCTTAATTTTCCATTTAAAATCGCATTATATATTTGTATTTTGTGTCATGCTGATTTTATTAAATCAAAGAAAACTCAGTGGAATGTTAGGAATGTCTTAGGTTTTATCGGACAGATCTGCTATCATTTATTTCTGTATAAAATCTCACCAGAAATATTTGTGTGTAAAGTCCATCAATTTAAATCATATTTCCTTTTCATTGTTAGCCCTTCTATTAAAGTCCTATTCAGGGTCACATGATTTAGATTCCCATAGCAACTAAGAAGCCTCCATTGCCTGAATCGAGCTGATGAAAGATGTGAGAGTGAATCCTGACAGTTTTGTCCAAGTCGACTTGCCTCTGTGCCAAGATTGGATTTCTATGCTAATATTATGCATAAATTAGAAGTGATAGCTAAATATTCCCACACGTTTTCACCTCTCAATAACACGATGAGATAGGTCTACTTGTCACGTCTCTCACTGTCCCTGAAAAATACAGTACAGTCGGTCTGTAACTGTAACTGTCTAAAATGTAAATGTAAAAACAAAATGTAAAATTCAAATAATTCTTTAATAATTAAAACAAAAAATGTAGAAATACAGCTTTTACAGACCAACATAAAAAATAATAAATAGAGTGTACACATGGTTTAAAATGGAGAGTCAAACAAGCGTCTAACATTTAGTACATTTACGAGTACTTTGTCTCAATAAAAAAGTAGTTAGGGATCAATGGGTATATGTACAGTACAGTAGTCCAAACCATGAACAAATCAAAATCAGCAGATGAGGCACACATTGTAAAATGTGTCAGATGTTTTTTAGTTTAGTTTTTTTTTTTTTTTTTTTTTTTTTACAGTAACAGCTTATACCTAAATGAAAAGTGAAAGTGTTGTGCATTCAAGTAAATCAAAACAAAATGGGACAGTGTGACTTGAGAATGCTTCAAACCCTGGGACAGTAGTAGTTTGGGTGATGTCATGTCCTGCTTGTCTTTTATATGATGTCTTCTTCTGTGTTTTTATTGCTCAGATGGTGATGAAGCCTCCCTGGTCACTGTTGACTGTTTCTGGGACTACACAGCGCCCCCTTCGCCTTGTCACACGTCTCTTCCGGTGGAACTTGGCATAGCAGCGCAGACCTGAATGAAAGAGGTAACATATATCTTTTATGGTTTCACTCGAAAAAGCTATGAATATTAATGATGCAAATAAAACGGCAACCCTAAAATGTATATTTATTAACCTAATTCAATCATAAAGCAGTCTCTTTATTTAGTTTAAAGCTGAAGGATGTAACTTGGCCTGGTGGTGTCCTCTGCATGTTTCCATGCCATACCACTAAAAATTCTAGGTAAAAGCAATAACATCTCCAGCACCTTTAAAACTGTATTAGTGTATATGCAATATGTTTCATTTCACCAGTCAATTCCACAATACCTTGCTTTTTCACTTGGGTGTTCTAGTAGAATAAAGGATAACTCATTCTTATTATAAGAAATCAACTTTGGACTAGTTCACAACAGGTTAATTCAAGTGGTCTAAATATATATACAAATCTTTAAAATACAGTGTTTTATCATAATGCATATTTCACAGATAACATTTTTTATTAGTAACAATGAAATAAAGTTTTCAGTTGCTGACCTTCCTCGCACATGCAGTCATCGTAGCATTTGTTGTTGAGGCCTCGGTTGTGTGCTTTACACTCGTGTTGCCGCAGGTCACAACAAGAACCTTCATTAAAACAGGCACAAAACACATTTGGTGTAGGCAGGCAGCTATAGGTATTCAAAAAGGCTTTTCTACAGTACCCCAAACACTGACCTGGAAGACAGTCCAAGTGATGGTCACATGGCTCAACCAAATCTGAAGTAACGTTTCCATTACTGAGATTTTTAGTTCGCCTTTTCTCTGTAGAACAAAAACGAAAATTAATCTTGCATTTTTCTATAAAATTTGCAGCAAATTACAACAACAAAAATGCTTAATATATATATGTATGTATATATATATATATATATATATATATATATATATATATATATATATATATATATATATATATATATATATATATGTATATATATATATATATATATATATATATATATATATATATATGTATGTATGTATGTATATGTATATATATATATATATATATATATATATATGTATGTATGTATGTATATATATATGTGTATATATATATATATATATATATATGTATATATATATATATATATATATATATATATATGTATATGTATGTATATTATATATATATATATATATATATATATGTATGTATATATATATATATATATATATATATATATATATATATATATATATATTATATATATATATATATATATATATATATATATATATATATATATATATATTATTTTATATATATATTATTAGTATAAAACATCATAACATGTATGATAATAAACAAAACCTTTTTTATTTGAAGAGGGCCACGTATCTGGCTTCATGTCTTCATAGTCTGTCCAGTCAAAAAGAGCCATATCCAGAGTTGGCATTACGTCTCCCTGGGTCTTGCCTTTTCCTGTTCTCTGAGGGAAACATAATGCATATGAGACATGTACATCTTACGCATGTAATTATGCAGATATATAATCATTATGTCAAACAGCTTTTGATGTTGTGTGACTGTTTGTCTCCTGTACTTGTATGATGTGGCTGTGATTGGAATATAAAATAAGATATAATAAGCACAAATCTGAAATTATCACAAAGAGATGATAAAAAATAAGCCAAGATCCAGTTCAGATGTGGGGTTTGAGCAGTAATGTTTAATTTATTTGAAAAGATGTCATGGGGGCAATAAAGCACACTGATAGAAAAAGTGGCTGTCAGCTGCCTCTCCAACCACTATCAATCACACAATCAAACAAAGACATATTCAAATAGTGCTACAGACGATACAAAGACTGCTGTCTTTCAGAGGATAGGTACTAATCCTATTTTTTAGATAAAATATACAACATCCTAGAGGCATTTATCAGAAAAGCCCTTTCTTGAAAACAGATCAATAAGTGCTTTCCTCACCAGTGTAATGGGCCAATATGGAAATATCAATTACAGTGGATTAATGCAGGGCTACCTGGTGTTTGGTCGCTCATTAAACCACCCACAGAAGATCGAACATTAATTAAGAAACCATTGTGCTTGAAAAAAGGAGCTATAATTTTTCCACTGGTGTCCAATATTATTGGACTGCACACCAAGGCCTCCTACTAAACTGAATACCAAGTACTCAGTCCGCCTCCACAGTTTACAAGTTTATAATATTACTTTGCAAACTTTATATTTAGTACAAATTCTTACCAAGGTTTCTTATTGATTAAACTAGCAATATGATTTCATATGTAGAATATATAGTTAAATGAAATTACTAAGGCATGGTTATATATGATAATAAGTAGCAGGGTTGGTACATTTCTGTATTTCTGTCTATAGTGTGACATACTCATGGTGCTGTGAATACATGCTCATACCACTGTTTTAAAATTAAATCTACAGCTCAACCTAGTGCATGTTTTATGTCAATAGCCCAGTTTTATTGCTCTTCATATAACATACTCTGAAAGCCACTATTCTTTATCAGATAAATCATATTTTTCATTGCCAGTTCTCTCATGGTCTCAATACAGGGTGTCATTTGAGGGCTATGAGTTTTATGGCAAAGTGAACAGCCAAAATGTAGACCTATTTTCTCTAAGCTTCCCCCACACTGGAGTCACACTGGGACATAACAGACGTAGCCTGTAATGAGTACTTTGTTGGGATGAGGTTACCTGCGGTTTGGTGGAGGCTGGGGGCAACGTTGGAGGATGCTCGTTTGTAACCGTGGTAACCGCAGAAGAGCCTGAGCCAAAGACGAAGCCACTGGTGCCACTGGGGGAGGGGGGGTCACTAGGGAGGGTCAGGCCTGAGGAGGGGGTATCCTCAAACACATCCCTGTCCTTCAGGGGCGCACTGAGGTCCAGAGCTGGAGCAAAATAATCTATAAATTGATATATGAATGATGATGATCACATGCCACAAGAACAGACGTTAGTCCAGATTAGGAATTGTTATCAGATGTTAACAATTTCAACGGTAATATTTCAATACTGATAATATGGTATATTCCAATATGCATTTACTGAACACATTCAATTTTATGTTTCAAATAATGTATGGACTGAGATATTCCAAAATAGCATAATGCAGAAAATCATTTAAATTCTGCAACTGTAAAAAAATTGAGATGTGACACTATTTGTTGCCACAGACAATATCATGTTCAAATTAAAATTTGTACAAAGCTGTCCTGCAGATAGAAGTTCTAAATAGCAAACGCACCTTTACTATGTTTCGACTTTTGACCTTGTCTCCTGTGCTCCATGTGGTGTGCTTGTCCATTCCCGTGACCTTTGCCCTTCTTGGTCCCGAGCAGGTTGTTGTGACTCGTACGACCTCTGTCTCTGTCCCTCGCTGGTCCCATCTCCACACGGACTGGACTCATGCCCTCCAGCCCCAGTCCCTCGTCCTCAGGCTGTCCAAGTGGATGCAGAGACCGGTGGGACGGTATACCAGCTTTAGTACCCCGGGCCCCCTGACGCTCCTGCCTCCTGTGATTGCTGCTATATCCCTGTAGAGCCTGTAGGGGGTGCTGAAGGGTATTGCCCCCTCCTGCTGAGCTCTGCCTCCTTTTGCCACGAGGCATCCCGATGTCTGTGTCTGCACCATGGGACAGGTCCAGAAAGGTCATCAGGACGACCAGAAGGACAGTCCAAAGGACAGTCATGGTATGGGAACAATGTCTCCTACGGGCTGAGAAAACAAATTAGTAGTATTTTTTAGTGTTTAGTTATTTCACGTTTTGTAAAAAGTAGATAGAAATGAAGCTGGAAAATGTATGTCTTTTTCTCTTTCACAGAGAACAGTTAGATGAAGGGCCATTTGAAGTGTTTTGCCAGTAGACACTGAAACATATTAAAAGTATGTGCAACAGCTTGTTATTAACAAATAAATGTTAGTGCTATATCACCCAGTCTCTTTGTATGGCCTTAAGAATGTGTATGTGCATTAAGTATGGAAAGAGAAAAGTAGAATTTATCTGACATAAACAACACAAAAATGTTTCACTCTTGAGAAGAAGACAATATAATTGAATAATGATGATGACAGGCCAGAGTCTGTTATAGACATTAGCCACTTGCCCCCTGATCACTTCTCACATCACCTCTAAACACATACATATACATGTACATAACATATGAGGGCAAAAAGATAAAAGTATTCTGCCACAGGGCAAAAGTTTAGTATGAGCTGAGGGGAGCACTGGTCAAAATAGCAAACCTCTTCTACAGCAGCCTCTACTAACAAGATCCTGTCACTGGGTTTCAGGTAACATCACTCAGCATTCTGTAAGCCAATATTTAATGCAGATGGGGCAGCTAAAATAAATATTGTTTTTTTTTTTTTTGTTTTTTTTTTTATGATACAGTGAGTACTGAGGTATAGTTACCAACAGAAATTATGAGGTTCAACATTTGCGAATTTGTCTTTCTGATATTTTATGAGAAGGTACACTGTAATCAGAAGGGAAAACCAACTCTTGTCGCCCATCTGGGAGGACCTCATCTCATTCTAGAACCTGAAAACCACTAATAACCTTAAACTGTAATAATGATAATGTGTACCAACTAGGGGTGGGTGATATATCGATATTTTAAATATATCGAGATAGTTTATAAACTCGATATGAATTCTGACATATCGTATATATCAATATAATGCTTATATTAAATTCTGATTTCGTCGCTTCACTTGTTTATCTTCTCTCGTCGCCTCCGCCTCCCTGATTTTGTTCGCTCGTTTCTCCTTCACTCCTCACTATCGCCCTGAACGCCGAAAGTTGGTGCCAGTGAAAAGCTTCAAGCACCATGAACCTTTTCAACCATTTACAGACAAAACCATCAGCAGCACATCCTCATATTCCACCGAGTCACGTCCTTTAGCCCGAAAGAAGCTAAATGAGCTGAGCTGCATGAGAAGTGCACTGTTTATGCAAATGAGCCATGCGCTTAAGTTTCGTTTCTGTAAAACGTAAACACACGTGTGCAAAACTGCATTAAACACATTATAATGTCAAAATGGCTGATGTGGCTCTAGAGTCGTTGTGCTTTATATATTATAAAGTTTAGTGATGTAAAGTTTATTTATGCAGAAGATTTTAATGAATAATCTGCTGCAGTGTCACTTGTACAATAGTGTTTGGAAACGTTGGGTTTGATCTGCAGTGGATTGTGGGATTAAACCTCAGAGCTCCTTACTGCTGGAACATGGATCTATTGAAATAATAAACATCCTAAGTTTCTTCTGCTGAAGGAGCTCATGGTTTTGGTTATGGTTTGGATAACAGAGTTAATGCAAAGATGAGCTTGTCTTGAGTTGTTTTATTTATGAATGAAAATAAGGAAATATGTATTATTTATTTTATTTTACAGTTAAATTATTATTTATGTAATTAGGTTTTTTGTAATCTTAAATGTTCCTATATGAACTGCCGACCTCTTACACTTCAATAAAAAAAAAAAAGGACCTTGTGGAATTTGGCAGATTTGTTTTTGGAGTTTTCAGTTTTAGAGGATTATTTTTTCTTGAACGTATATCGAGATGTATATCGTATATCGAGATATAGCAAAATATATCGAGATATATTTTTTGATCCATATCGCCCAGCCCTAGTACCAACAATGTTGCTTTAGGCTAAAATGTTTAGTGAGAAGTAATGATATGCTCCTTTCAATTAGGCAGGCTAGTGCCACCTAGTGCCTCCACACAATTTCATTTCTCTCCAGCGACTAGGTCAGGAATCATAATACATTAGACGGTTTGCAAGAACCCTGGAAGTTGTAGACCGTGCACTGGCCAATCAGTGAAGAGCTGTGAAGCCATGACATCAAACACAAGCGCCTGTCTGGGTCTCTTTTGTGGTACAGCACAACAGTAAACAAAGCGATTGAGATGATGTAGACAAAGCCAGACATTCTGTGTTGGCAACAATTCCCAAGATCGAGGATTTAAAGCTGGAACAAAGACAATGTTTGGTGAATTTTATCAGACGTTATTGCCCTTCTACCTGTGGGATTTGGCGCATTACATACATCATGACCAAATAGCAGTGATTGGTTAAATAAAAAAGTACCTGCCTACCATGAAGTGAACAAATCCTAATGCTGCAAAGTCAGATGGTTTCCACGAAGTGAAACCGGCTGATGAATCAGGCTATCTTTCAATGGCATAATGATAAAGTGCAGAATGGTGTGTTTTCAGACACAACGTAGTATATATATATATATATATATATATATATATATATATATATATATATATATATATATATATATATATATATTAGTGCTGTCATGCGATTAAAAAAATTGAGAGATTAATTAATTATGATCTGTAATAATTAATCTAATTAATCTCATTTTAATCTCACCTAAAAATTGCTGAGAAAAGCCTTCAATTTGAGGTATTTTCATTTAAATTCATTATTACATTATTATGGCAGATCAAAAGACTCATATAGAACAAAAAAAGTGACTTTATAAAGTAATTTATTGTTTAACAAATCTCTCAAAATTGTCTGTTGAGCCCAAGTCTCCATGAATAAGAAACTGTTTGCTGTAAAGTAGCAAAGACGAGGAAATCTGAACATAATAATAACTTTTGTCTACTTAAAGACAATAAAAAGTCCAGTCTTTCCTTAACCATATTAAAAATATTATTGATAGAGAAATGCTTTATATATGAGATCACTGGTTTTAGTCCTGGTTTAGACCTGCTTTAGTTCTACTTTAGTCCTAGTTTAGTCCTGGAATGGGTTAGTCCTGGTTTTAGTCCTGGTGTTAGTTCTGGTTTAGTTCTGGTTTAGTCTTGGTTTAGACCTGGTTTAGTCCTGGTTTTAGTCCTGTTGTTAGTTCTGGTTTTAGTTCTGGTTTAGTCCTGGTTTAGTCCTGGTTTAGACCTGGTTTAGTCCTGGTTTTAGTCCTGGTGTTAGTCCTGGTGTTAGTTCTGGTTTAGTTCTGGTTTAGTCCTGGTTTAGACCTGGTTTAGTCCTGGTTTTAGTCCTGGTGTTAGTTCTGGTTTAGTCCTGTTTTAGACATAGTTTTAGTTCTGGTTTAGTCCTGGTTTAATCCTGGACTGGGTTAGTCCCGGTTTTAGTCTTGGTGTTAGTTCTGGTTTAGAGGCGCACAGGATGAAGCGCGGTTTACGCATCGTACGCGAGAAAACGTACGCGGCGCACGGGAGCACGTCGGTGTCCGCGCAGTAATTACGGAAGGAAACGTGGTCCGCGCGTTCTGAGGTTAATGACGATGATGAAGGTGTGTGTTTGTTTGTGTTTGTGTGCGTGTCCCCTCATGTGGCAGGTCACTATAGGACAGTAGTGCAGACATCATGAGCCTATGCAGGTTGTTTTCACCAGTGACATTTAAGTTGTAGGTGATTTTATATTTGTTATTTTCTTTTATATTTCAAGTCGGGAGAATAATTTCCAAGACACAAATGTGTTTTTACCTGTGCACTGCTGACTCTGTTCTACTGGCTCTTCAACCTCGTCCATTGTGCGACTGACGCCGCCAACGTTAACATGACGTTTACATCGCTCTTACTGTGCGCGTTTTTTGTGGGTTTCCGGCAATGAGTGGAATTAAAATAAAAAAAATATATAAATGTGTTTTTTGTGTGTGTGTGTTGTTGGGACAACAACATAAAAACAGGTTTTATAATAAAGCAACTCGCATACAGAGACAGTAAAGTTAGAGATTAAAAATGAGATTAACACGATTAAAAAACATAACACGCTAAATATGACTGTAATTAATTAATCGCAATTAACGCGATAATTTGACACCCCTAATATATATATATCACATGACAGACTAAAACAGTGAATGCTAACCAATGTTTATAACTTTATGAGCAGTTTGTACTGAACAGTCCTCTTCTATGGACTTCACTTGCTGCCGCTGCAATCTGAAAGCTCCTACAGAAGTATATTTGCCCCACTTGCAGTCCTCCATCTCCATCTCTCACCTGCACAGACAGTCCTCTCAGCCTCTGGAGTGGGCCATTTATCTGGACCTGGTGCTTTTAAGCTCAGACAAAGAAAAGCGCCCGTGCAGTTTTTTAGACACAACTCTTCATTCACGTTCTGTCATTTCTGTGAGATGCCATATGAAGGAGCAAATCCTTCATCTGGGCCTATTGACACATTGTAGAACCCAGTAACTGTAAAGTTATTGCCATTTCGGAGCCATTGCTGTCTAGAAAAACAACTTTATGTTAGTATGCTATACAGCTCTCAATTTAAGTGCATTTTTAAATTAAGAATCATTAAAAGTGGACTTGAAACATGCGGGTACAGATACACAAATATAATAAAACTGTCCTTCTTGCTTTGTTATAAACCAGCTACTTCTGCGTACATATATAATATGTATGCATATCATAAGTAGCACCACGTCCTTAATGTATGGAATTTTTCAAACAATTATGATGATAAGCCTTAGCTTTGTGAATGTATTTTGGCATTATGCTGTCCCAGGTACAACACCATTACGGCACTATGATGGCCTTCTCTTTTGTGTTAAAAGACAAATGACTGTGCTGGCCAAACAGAAAATCAATAGAGAAGTATTGAGCTGCTGCTGATGCCCTGCACCATTGTGTATGCCTGCTCATGTGAATGTATATTTTAAAGTGGAGTATTGATAAAACCTGTGCTTATAGTTAAAAACACACACCCTAGGTCGCTGCTCTGGTCTATAGGGTCGTTTAAGGCAATAAAAGTGTGTGATGTTTTTTTAAATTATTGGACAAGTGCAGGGTAAGAACAGGCTGAGCTCTAGTGGGATTTAAAGTCAGAGCATGTCGCCCGGCCTTTTGGGACTCAGGGCAGCTGTGCAGTTTGCAAACACACAGGCTCAAAGCAGCAGCCGCCGGACTTAATCTCAACAAGGCGTCTAACGTATTGCACAGAGGTCACTGACCAGGATTTTAGCCTCACTACTGGGCTATTGAAACATTAAATTGGCTAGAGTCTGCATAAACAATTAGTGAATACTGAGTCAAACAAGAAAAATTGTATTTGCTGACCCATGTGTACAGTTACATAATATTACTTTTGTTGCTGTATCCAGATAAGATGCAGATCCTATGGAGCTTCCAAATATTATGTAAGAAGGCAAAACAACAAACAGTTGCTTGGCTGACATTAGGTGGACTGTAAGTCTGAGCCCACTGCATATGGCACAGCTTAATGAACTAAAACTTATAACATAACATAACAATAAAGTAAACTTCTATACATACAATATTATCAACAACAACATCTGTTCAATTGCCTATATTAAAATGAAAATGAATCCCCAAACCACCTGACTGTGAAAACAGTTAAAAGCTGGTCCTCGGACTCAACAAACTCAATTCTCCAACATAAAAGAAGGAACTGGTCCATAGGGACACCATGCATCAATCCCAATCCAATCTGCGCTCCTGGACCTGAATGGAAGTGTGGAGTGAAAGGGGAGGCGGGCTGGCTGTCTGAACACAGCAGTGGTCGTCTTTCTGAGCCCACTCCTCACATGAGCGGCTAACAGGTGGTCCTTTGAGGGAAACCACGACAACTACTATAATGGAGCACTCAGGGTGGGATTGTGGGTCTGTATTTGATAAACAACCAGGGCGAATAACAGCCTCCTACCAGGCAGTTTCATATCTGTCTTAAATATAGGCCACAACCGCAGAGCATCTGCTTCAGGGGCCAATGGAACATCAACTAAGCATTGAATACAACTGCAATGCTATTAGATAGGGGGATTTAACTGTGCATGATGTAACAAAATGCAACTATTTTCACTAAAGTTAATACAAATTTATTAAAGACAGATAAGAAGAAAAAGAAACTCCTATTTAGAAAGAGTTACAGAAATGTGATAAAACCAAGAAAAATTTAATTATCTGAGATGTCAGGGGAAATCTTCACAATAGTATGGAGTAAAATTGAGAAGTTATGAACCAACAAAAATACTTTCAAATAAACTGGAAGCCTTGAGCAGTTCTTCAAATCAGTCCAAATCCCTTGTTGCGGCGAAAGCAAAAATTCCATCAAGGCAATGTATGGTTGATTTGCAGTGGTTGTAATTGAGTATAAAAGGTAATTAAGTATAAAAGTCCAAGAAAATATAGAAAATACAGCCATCATATAACCAAAGAGAGGCAGAAGTAGATACAAGTGTACACAAATACACAATGAGCAAACATAGAAGTAATATTTAATATTTAGTTGTTTTTTTTTTTTATCTGTTCCAATTCAGTTAATGGTTACAAGCTATAATTTCTTTTCTTGGCAAGTACATTTATGGTTCAAGCTAAATAGATTATCATCTGTCACCAATCAATAAACAAATAAATAGTGGAGAGCAAGTTGCAATCCCTACACAAAAAAAACACAAAAAACAAAAGACCTAAAAAGGAAAACATTTCACTTAAATTTTCAGCAAGAAACCATCCGCAAGATGAGAGTGAAGGAGGTACGTGTAAAGTAATAGGTAATTTTGCATCAAATTGCCGAAGGGGACATTTGGAGGGCCTTATTACAATGTCATGAGATGTCCCATGGGTACTGAGGTGGGTGCATTATTAGTAAAAGCGCTCCAGTACAGACTACATACTCACTGAGCAAGTCTAACAGAGCATTTGGCCTTCTGAGTTAAACCACTGTTAGTCTTCATCCTTAAGCTTCACCTGCTGCGACTCCGATCCCCATCTGCTCCCGTGGTTCCATCTCTCGTAGCAACCAGCAGGTCCATAAGGAATCCGTAAACAAAGGTCCAAAAGAACAGGCGGAGAGTGAGGGGCTGTCATGTCACGCAGAGGACACTGTGAAGGCCCTTACTAAATTAAAGCAGGTACAATCTGTTGAACTGGACATCTGACACTGCACTGATCTAAGTGCAATTTGCCAATTTATGTCAAAGCTACCACTGAGTTTAATGAAACAATAGATTCAATTTAGATATCTGTTTCTGTCAAATTGTATTGAGGGATTATCCCTGTTAAGCCAAAAGTCCTTAAAAATAAAGACAGGTTGCTTAACAAAATACGCAGCTATATAGTTTTATCTTTTCTTTTGCTGCCACAACAAATTATCTACTGTATTATACCAAAGTCCACACATACTAAATCTTTAACATTATCTTAAAGTTTACTTAAAGCATTAAATTAAAGCTGATATTAAATCTTGCTAACTAGATTCTGATGGAGAAAATGCATTTCTGTGCTGTGCCATCCTTGCAAGGCTAGATCAGTCTTTGTTATAATAGCCTACGTCATAAGAGGTATAACACTTTGTACAATGGAAGCATAGCCAAACTGGACTGGAGTAGACTGGATAGACAACACTATCACAATGATTTAAAAGGTCCATGTCTCCTAGTCCCGTACTTAAACTTTGCCTGCCTTAGAACTCGAGCCTCATGACTCCTCTTTCAACTCTAGGCCTACTTCAAGTCATTCTGCAACATACACTGTTGTATAAGCTTGTTTGACTTTAAGTTAAGTTAATAGCCTGTATAAAAAGTGCAGATAATTGGTCTTTCAGAGGTTAATTCTTCTCATAGAACAACAAAAGTTATATTACTATACAGACTAACAAACCTATCAATATCAGTATCCTAATGCACATTTCTTTAAGGATCACTGACCTCAACTTCAGCCTTCTACCAGTGCTTTGTGTCTAAACAATACAGATGACACATTTACAGCTTTTAGGGCGAAGTGGAAACATAAGGGAAGGCCCATCTGTCAGCAAATAGGCCATTATAAAGACACACAGAGGTCTGCTGGTAATTTGGTCCGTAGGTACAACAGATGTGATGCATGGTTACAATCTCTAGGCCCTTATCTTCTGCTAGAGTGAACCAGGTCTTGCAAGCACACACAAAATATTCGGTAGCAGCGGGTGGGAATCTCCTCCAGACACCCACATTGACGCGTGTTTCAAAAAAAGCCGTCAGACATAAACGGCACCAGTGTCAGAGCGAGAGGTGTCCCGTGGAGACCAGAGAGAATGAGTTACACAAAAGGATTGGCAAAAAGAGGCTGAGATTAAGATGTAAAATGACAAGTGAAGAGTAAAAATGTAAATAAGCAGACAAAAATGAACTTAATAGTATAGTTTATCCTTTCCAAAGAATATACAATAAAACAGTGAGTTGTTGTATACTACAAGTACATTTTTAGATATGTTTTGAGTTTGTTTATAGTTGAGTTCTGACAAGTTTAAACGGAGTTGTGTCCTGTTTAATCCTGGTTTGGTTAATCTCTAGGTCTGGTTTAAGATATGTTCACACTTGCACAAGAATCGAAACAACTAAATTTAAACTAAACTGTGACTAAACTAGGGCTAAAACTGGACTATAGGACAAAGACAAGACTACAGCATGACCTAACCAGCACAGGTATGAATGCAGTACAGCTGTGTCCTGACTTAGCCAGGCTTTTGTCGTAGTTTAACAAAACCATCTTCACTAGTGTAGAGACAAAATATAAAGTCTGAATAGAGTTTTGTAACCTATTTAGATGTATATTATGCTACTTACTGTTTCATTTAGTCTCAACAGAAAGCTAACAGCATCTCTAAAATGTAAAATTATTTCTTGAGAAGTTTCCTGACTTTATTATGTATCAGCCATAAAAGACTACAATAATAATAATTTTTAAAAAACGTTTAAAGTAACTGACACAATCTTAAAAATGTCACTGTAAAATGTCCACTCCCTCGATAAAAGTGAATTTATTGAGACAAATTGAACATCAAAAGACATAATGTGTCCTAAAATTACCTTGTCGTTTTATGTTCCAAATGAATGTGTGCGCTGCGTTTTGGCTCGAGGTCGCTCACTCAGGGGTCCTTCACTCTGATCATGTCTCGGTTAATTAACACCATCTCATCAAAGCCAAATATATCTCGTTTTTTGCACTTTTAAAATTGGATGATGCCACACTGTGAATCCCATTTTACATTTTCATCCACTTCTCACCATCTCCTAAAGTCATTTTCTTCAGGAGCATGATTGGCCATTAACGCAGGCAGCACATAACCCGGGCTCATGTGCAACTATGAGCTGTCAGGGAGGAGATAATCGCAGCACTCATTTCTAAATCTCCCCACTGTCCGCTCAATGAAGCCCCTTCGTCGTAGAGCTGTATTTTAGAATCTGAACACCAGGAAACAACGCCGTCGTAAAAGTTAGTGATTATCGAGTTAAGTCTGTTTTTGCATGTGCCAGGACCAATCTACAGTGTCTATCTTTGAAAACATTCACTCACACTGGAGTAGGGTGCGCTGCAGAGAGAGTAAGCCATGGAGTCTTGTATATTTCATCAAACCCAGAGTAAAGTTAGGAATATTTTTAAGTAACGTGTACGTGTATTTGGAATAGAAAAAATAACCTAACTAGAGCGATGTTTCTGAAGGTGAGTGACGCACGGAAGCGATGGGAAATTCATTGTAAAATAGCCTTTAAAAGTGCCTTTCTGCATCATAAGAACTAACTGGTTGACAGGTTGGCCTATATCAAGGAAATAAATGAGTTAAAGCATCTTACCTGGGTTACTTTGTGATGCGTAAAGTGTCCTTTAAAATGAGACTCCGGACATGTGGCGGGAGAACTGATCAAACTCGCTCGCTCCGTACTCAACAGGACAAGATGTGTTCGGAGCATCAGTCTCCAGCGTCTTAAGAAGAAAAGGAGGAGGAGAGGAGAGGAAAGGCAGTGGCACCGCTGAGCGCGCTCTCGTTTGCGCGCCCTCGACCAGGTCCCTCAATAGTCCAATACAGGCTGTAGGCTATTTTACAGACTGGAGTTGTGAGCCCAAAATGACAATAAGCTGTGTAGAAAATAGACCTGTCTAGACTGGATGTACAGTAGAATAAGCATATAGAAGACAACATTTTCGAATACAAACACAAGCATGTGTGTGGGAGTTAGTGACAGAACAGGTGAAACAGTTCGCCTCTGTATGGACCAAGGGTATAAACACACCCTCACCACTTTGACGATCTACCCTCTCTAAATAAAATATACAGCAGAAACAACAAAAATCTTTCGGGTATGCTATGTACCCACTCAATATCAATAAAGAAAGCTGATGCAATTTATTAAAAGCAAACTCTGGAAATAGGGTAGATGTGGTAGAGGCATCCACAATTATTTAGCAGAAGATGCTTTACAAGTAGAGGTGAAAATGGTACGTATTATACACAGACTATGGCATTACTAGTACTTGGGAGTTATAGAATGGTAGTAGTCTGCATTGTGTGACTGCCTGTCTCACACCTCCAGTCTCATAGAGAAAGTCCAGTGAATAGTCTAGTCTGCAGCAAAAGACCTGCACACTGCATTTTTCATGGGCTGTTCATTCTGAGCACTGCAGAGCTCCAGCAAGAGCTTATGTGGCTTGCGGCTGTTTAAATTGAGCAATAGCGAGTCAATGATTGTGTACTGATTACATCTGGGAATTGTTTGACATTTAGACTTATTTATTTAGCTCTTTGTTTTTGTGGAAAATGCAGAAGAAAGCGGTGAGCAAGCTTTATAAAGCTTTGGTTTAAACAAGGACAATGCTGACAAGTCACTAACAATGTTGTAGAAAACGCAGCGGGTGAGAGAGCCTGCTGTATAGAGATATAAGACTTCTCAATGTAGTCATTCGCTTTGTACATAACAAAAGCAATGTAGGGTTATAACCATGTCCAGTACAAATCATAGTAAATACATTTATCAGTAATGTCCAATAGCCATTATGTCACCCTGATATTACTGCAAAATTATATATAGCCATAGGGAATGTGTTAAATGGGTTCACTGAATGGTCATATCTCTAGGGGAAAGGTGGTATGGCAGTTATACAATTTTCACATTTGCGCCTTCACAGCTTGGTCCATTCATACTACTCTTTGTAAATGTTAATACTGTTGGCTGTTAAAAGAATAACAAGTAATGTAACACTAATCTAAAGTATCTTACCATGGAAAGGTGCACTATGTAGAACAGCTTTTTGCCTACAAAGTTCCACATTGTGGCATTAAATATATTTTTCTGGCATTCAATTAATCTATGTGGTTTAGTGCTCAATATTACCTTGAAAAACATGCTTCCCCATAGATCTGACAAGTAAATTGACCTGGTGGTGGCATCAGTTTGTCTGCATGTAGAAAGATATGTTTAATAATATATTGTAGAACATTCCTGCAGTAACATCGTTATGGAGACAAGCAGGTGGCTGACCATCCACTAGAAAAGTTACACAGTGCACCTATAAATAATTAAAAGAAAGGTTTAGGCATTGGCAAATTACACCTAAAAAAAACAGACAACTGATTGACAATTCACAGCATTCTTCAAACCTCACAATGAATATTTTGCCTCAAAGTGTCATGTTTATAAGTCCAGAGAGAAACCTCTTTAGAAATCACTGTTTACTGTAACTACAATATAATTAGAGAGCAAACAGTCGGAGTCAATGCTGCACTGTTTTCTTGGGGCCTCTGTATAACTGTGCTATGAGCCTTGAATTTAATTAGAAATTTATTGAAAAACAGAGAAAGCAACAGATGGTGTGGGCCATTGCAGCTGCACAAGTGGGCCCTATTCAGAGTCTAACTTTGTTTTAAATAGTTCACACAAAGGGCAATTTGGTTTACAGTGCTATTCTGCCACCTTCATCTTCTTGTTAGGGACTGTGGGTGGGTGTTGTGGATTTGCTTGGAATGTCCCACACTATGACATTAAACTTATCGGTCTTTATAATTACCTGGAATTACCTGGGTTTTTATGGCTCAAAAATAGTTGGAAAACAAGTATTCTTATTGTGAGTGGGGTCATTTCAACACAGAGTTGACCTATAACTTTGGCTGGTGGTCAGGCTGAGATAGACAGGCTTAATGTCATACTGTGAAACAATTCCAGGCAAAGCAGTCACATCTACGAGAACACAAGCAGGTCTTTCGTCCAGTGTAGTTTAGAAAATATGAATTTAGAGTATTTAGAATCATTACATAGACATGTAATGGTTATACAAGGACACAGGCAACAAAATACAGGATCTTAAGTGAATGAAACAATCCACACATTAAACAACATCCTACTATCTGAGGGTTTCCTGGCAGAGTATTTTGGCAATCTGAGAACTGAGTGGAGGCAAAGCAGCGGGACCCCCTGCTACGCCTTCTCATACATTATGAGCTCACAGCTTCTCAGCAGGCATCAAGCAGCACATACCAGGGTGTCGAGCTATTATACCGCCAGAGGAAGAACGTTTAAATATGGGCCAACTCACAGCTCCATGTACTTTACTAACACGGCCTCATGCAGTTAAGCTTACCCACGTGGAACAAGAAGACACAGATGGAAATAAAAGGGTTTAATTAAAACTGATTGTCAGACAAACACAAAATTGTGCTTCAACTGAAATTATTCTATACATACATATACAAACTTGTATTTCACAAGGCTTCTACAGACATCATACACCATATTGCATTGTATGAATTCAGAAACAGGTGCACAGTAATAGGTTGCACTATTGTGAAAATATCATTGTCTAGTCATTTGACTGAAGTTAAAATTAAATCTTTCAAATTATCTATACTAGCTAGCCAGACAGAGTAATAAAGGTCAAACCAGGACGGATATCTGTCATAAGCAATGGCTAATCAATGTATCAATATTGTATGGCTCTCTAAACTTGGAGGCAGATACATTTCTGGAAATAAAATCTAAATGATTTATACTTGTTTGTATATTGTTTTTTTATTACTATTGCAATGTAGGTGAAAATCTACATTGATGTGCAATCATTTATTGATGTACATCTGGAATGAAGCAGCTGTAATTTTGGGTAATCTTTTCAATATCATGATGTTAATAAATGTTAATCAATCATGTTTATTGTGTTGCTTTGTCATTGTCTTTTTAAGAATGAAAGGAACTAGTCATCTAGTCACATAGAGTACTTGAGCTGATTGCATCTATAGGTCACCATTACGTTAACATTATTGCCTACATTTGAGATTCTCAGATGGATGGAATATGTAGCCTGCACTTGTACACACCAGTAAATGGACTTTGTGAGCAACAGATTGTTTTCACTTATGTCTATTAACAAAGCGGCCTTTTGGTTTACAAGGCTCACAACAATTAATGACATTTTTGTGTAAAGTTTGATCATTTGTCTTGTTCATCATAACAAATACACATGTACACCACAATATATTTTTAAAAAGACATATGTTCTCATTCACCTTGATCTGAACAACTTAACTCAATTTTCACACTAGCCTTGATTATTGCTGTGAGCCAATTTGTTACAGTGAAATACTGCCATCTAGTGGGAAAAAAACTCCTCACTCTTGGTTCTATGTACTCATATCGAATGACAAACATTTCCCTGAAAGCCACTTTAAGTTAAGAGCTACATAAGTGACAGTGACAATGTTTGCATCTTAAAAAATGATACTTTTTTTCTTGTCTATGGTGCTCAGCTGCTTTCAATCAAGTGTCTTAGTATTTAATGTAATCCTAGTATTTGACTGATGCTTTTACACCAGTCTCAAGGCACATTAAATCCACTCTGAGAAAGTGCTACTACTAAAAGCTATAATTACCTCACCATGTCTCATTCACTCGAACAAAAGCGCACAAACAATCTCCAGCCTAAATATACTTACTATTCCCCATTGTGGGCGGACAGTGTTGTGCATTGGTAGCTTGTCTATTATTTAAAAAACAAAAAGCATTCAGAGTTACCATTTTCTGAGGCACAGAAGATTACAAGTGAAACTATTCTTTGTGCCAGTCCCAAGTCTGAAAAATGGAGATATCAAAAAAGTCTGCCATTGCAATGGTACATAACCACTGCACAGGTGATCCACTGAAGAACAAGGTAGTCACAACCTCAAGAAAATGCTTTCTCAATTAATCTTTGAAGTTTGCAAGGGGCATTTAACGCAAAGTAAATAATGAAAAATTTGATGAAAATGTAAAAAAAAATAATTAAAAGTTGTAATTTTAATTAATTCAAATGATTCAAGATTTGTAAAAGCTAAACCTCAACCACCGGCAGTATATGACAATCATAATCAATACATTCAGATCTATAGTCCATTTCATAGCTTAGTTTTTTTTTTTCAAGTTCATAAAGGTGAGGCACCTGAACAGTCATGGCTCAATTTTCCTGCTGGTACCTCATATTTGAAGACAACACTGAACAGTTTTCCTCCGAGGCGGTCAGCAAGCCACGAGTTCTTGATGACGGCCATTTTGAGACTCTTCGCAGCTCAGCATTGCGTAATAGTTAGTGTGGATGGCTCGGCCCATGCCCTCAATAATCACCAAATCTGTCTTACGCTCCCGCACCACTGTGGCCAGCACTTTGTCCAAGCGGCTGGGAGAGAAGAGACAAAATAGTTCATCCACAAATCTGCCATTTGTGTTATTGAGCAATGCACATCTGCTATGCCTATTTGAGAATCGTGTGGGGGGTTATCACAAGAGAGTGAATAGATTTCAATATGTGTGTAAATCTAACCTTAAATCTAAGCAGGGTGAACTGGAACCACTTTGGACCAACATCAACCTCTCGTCTTTCAGCCCATTTCTGCTCATGACAACAAAAATTTAACA